GTGAGCCATGGCCGCTGAGCCTGTGTGTCTGGAGCCTGTGTTCCGCAACGGGAGAGGCCACAACAGTGAGAGGCCCACGTACCGCCAAAAAAAAAAAAAAAGAGTGCTGAGAACCGTGCACTGGCTGGGTGTACTGTCTAATTCTAATCTTATCATGAGACTTCCCCCTCCCCCCGAGGCCGTGCGCAGCTTGCGGGATCTCAGTTCCCTGACCAGGGACTGAACCCAGGCCACAGCAGTGAAAGCCGAATCCTAACCACTAGACCACCAGGGAACTCCCCTATTGTGCAACCTTGATGAGAGATTCCTTTCCTTTTTGGTTGGGCCTGAGTGTTACTAAATTAGTCCACAAGCATGTTGAATGTTTACTGTTCTTTAGGACTGTGTTAGGCATTGTGGAAAATCTGTAATGTAAAACTGGGTGCCTTCCTTCAGGGTGCTGAGAATCTAGCTATGATGCAATTTCAGTGAGGAAATCAGTAGTAATAGCATGTTTGTTTCTTCAGGAGAGAGCCTGCCACTCAGCCTGCCTGTACCTGCTAAAGCACAAACCCTAAAGCAGGGTGTTCTTTCCTCCACCAGAAATCCCTCATTGGGAAGCCTGTAGAAGACAGATCTCTTCCAGAAAGTGGGAGAAGGGAAAGGTTGTTCATTTATGGCAGGGGTTGGAATTTCAGGTCCTAAAAAGCAGTTATTCATGGAGTCATTTTAAAATGAAAGAATAAGAATAATAACAGGGCTTCCCTGATGGCACAGTGGTTAAGAATCCGCCTGCCAATGCAGGGGACACGGGTTCAAGCCCTGGTCTGGGGAGATCACACATGCTGCAAAGCAACTAAGCCCATGCGCCACAACTACTGAAGCTCACGCACCTAGAGCCCGTGCTCCACAACAAGAGAAGCCACTGCAATGAAAAGCCCGTGCACCATGACGAAGAGTAACCCCCGCTCGCCGCAACTAGAGAAAGCCTGCATGCAGCAACAAAGACCCAATACAGCCAAAAATAAAGAACCAAAAAATAAAAAATAAAATAAACTTATGAAATGATTCTCAACCCAGTGTAAAATTAAAATAATAATAATAACAGCTATGGTTATTACGTACTGCTTGTGTGTCAAGCGGTATACTTGGTGCTTTATATATATTACCTTATTTAATCTTCTATATGATGAATGTTATTATTTTACAGATGAGGAAACGGGCTCACCCAGCTCCACCCTGCTGCTAGTATGTGGTAGAGCTAGGGTGAGTCCAGGCAGGCTGGTTCTAGAGCCATTCTCTTAACTACGTTATTTTGAAAATTAATAGCTGTTGGTTGAGATTCTTTTTCAGGGCCTAGGCACAACTAGACCCAGACTGTGACCCACCAATGTCTTTAATTGGAGAACATCTTTGCGTTGCTTCTTTTTTTGTTTTGGCTGCATTGGGTCTTCATTGCTGCACGTGGGCTTTCTCTAGTTGTGGTGAGCGGGGGCTACTCTTTGCTGCAGTGCACGGGCTTCTCATTGTAGTGGCTCCTCTTGTTGAGGAGCACAGGTTCTAGGGTGCATGGGCTTCAGTAGTTGTGGCTTTGGGGCTCTAGAACACAGGCTCAGTAGTTGTGGCACACGGGCTTAGTTGCTCTGCGGCATGTGGGATCTTCCCGGATCAGGTTATCGACCCCGGGTCCCCTGCATTGGCAGGTAGATTCTTAACCACTGCCACCAGGGAAGTCCCTGCAGTGCTTCTTGTTTAGCTTTAACTAATCCTGAATTTGGAAGAATAAATATGGATTATGGAGGAAGAAGAATTGGCTTTTTGCTTCTCTATCATCAGAATTCCCCTTACAAGCTGTCCAGCACGTGACCGCCACTTAATTGTGAGAATGCCACTGAAGGGCTGTCCTTAGACTGGTGGGATTGCAAGGTTAGGGAGAGACCTTTATTGCTTCTGGGAGAAAAGAAACACATTAAACACAGTAAATACATAACCAGTTCTGGGGAGGAGCTGCTTTGGGAAAGTAGAGGAAGAGTGAGAGGCCAGATGAGGTCCTTTCAGAGAAAATGAAAGATTCTAGGAAGCCCACAAGCCCAACAACTGGTGAAAGAAGGTGGGCTGTGCTAGGGTGTAGACTGTTACCTGATTGATTAGGGAGGGATGTCCGCCTAGGAAGGGCCTTTGAAGTTGCCAGGAAGTCAGAAATTGAGGCGGCAAATTATGGTAAAGCCTGAGGCCTTTAGGTACAAAGTTTCTGGGATATTACCCTCTGCCTAACTACTGCCCTTGCCATGTCCCAGGCCAGTGTTGAGTGTGAGGGAGGCCCAAATGGACATATTCCTAAAGTCTTAAGCTACAGAAAGGAAGATCCCAGACGAGGAGTGTATCCCTAGTGCTCTGAAGTTCCAAATGGGCTGGGGCCCAGACCTGAGCTTAGAATGTTTTCTTCTCTTGGAAATTTAAGAGAAGTGATATGGGCAGGAAATGGCAGGGGCTGGGTGAACACAAGAAAGGGCCAGGGAAGGAGAACATGACCCTGGGCAATGTCTGGACAAGGGGAGAGCTGAGATCATGCACAAAGTCCAGCCAGGCCTCTGGTTTCCTTCCAAGGAGCTGATAGCTCAGGGGCCTTCTCTGCTTTCACCTCCCTGCAAGAAACTGAACTAAGCTCTTACAGGAAAAGCCAACTTTATTGGGAAAGAAAAAATCCCTGTTCTGAGCGATATCTTATACCTTCCAGTCTGCCCTGGCAAGAAGAGAGAAAGCCCAGGTGATCAGGGTGGCCTTGCCTGAGGCTCTCATTGCATCTCTTGATGTGCTGTTTCTTCTTCTCAGGAGTTAGCTTTAGCATGGTATTTGTCTTTTGGCACCTGACACCCCTTAGGAAAGGCTGAGCCCAGGTTGCTGGGTCATAGCCATTGCTGAAGCTGCCCAGAGTTCAGGGATTGGAAAAGCATGTATTATTTTATTCTGCCTGATTCCTGGGAGCTGGTTCCATCTTGCCTTTTTCTGGAATTTTGCCTTTTTCTGGGCTTGAGCCATTTACTTCTGAGCCAAGACCTTGGCCGTAGATATTTCAGCCACTAGCACAGCTCATGTGCATGAGGGGGCCAGATTACTTCATGGGTGACTGGCGTTGCTGGGTATTGGTCCTCTTGCCGACAGAGCTGACAAATAGAATTAGAAGCAAAGGAGCCAGCCTATACTAGAGTCTGTGGGACATAGTTTAGCAAAATGACCTTGAGGACTGGGGTGTCTGGAGGAAAAGAGCCTGAATCTGGACCAGACCTTTGACGTAGCTGTCCCTCCCAAACTCAGGAACACAAGCCTGTGTTCTCCATCCCTACTTTCTCCTCAGGAATTCTTGGCAGGCAGAAGTGTTTGCCACTAGGTGAAGTCTTCTCTGGCACAAGACTGAACTGGTGAAGGGAACAGCCCAGAGGCACCTTTGTACCCCTCAGGAATCCATTCTCAGTCCCTGTGCTCAGTCCTGACTCTAGCTTATTCCCTTCACCGCAACGTTCTGTTGGAGCTAAGCCTCCCTCATCACACTCCTTCCAAGACTCCCAACTGAGCTGGGAGCTCTCCATGATGTCATACACTTCCCTCCCAGGTCAGATCAAATTGCAAAACACAGATTGCCACAGTGAAAATTTATTCACTCTCCTGGTCTCTCCTTTCTACCCAGCTCACTTCTTCCAACTTAATGTAGAAGATCTACATCTTCTGATGTAACTAATCATCGTATAACCCAAATATAATTATCTTCAAGCTGGCAAGATAGTACTACACTCTCTAAATACTAGTCTGGTCTTGCTAATAATAGACATGATATATACAAAATAGTTTTCATTACAGTGGGCAGCAGGGAGCTGGTCTAGTTCACCTCTGAATATCCATGATGTAACTGATTGTCCTTGTCTTTGATTTATGGTCTGCTAAGCCTAAGTCATATCAGGACTGGCTTTGGTAGTCCTTTCCTTCTGGAACCACAGAGATCCAAGGTTCCTGGAGTTAGTGGAGGTCTGAATCCACCCCCATAGAAAGCAGAGGCATAGTAGGGGAGGGAGCCCTCATCAGAACAAAAGAGGTTGAGATAAGCTCTAGCTTAGTTTAGAAAGTGTCTCCTACACTCCAAGGCTAGGATGCCCGAAAAGTTCCATCAGGCAATGGATAAGAAGACTGAGTTGGCATTGGGAGATGAAAACAAGTGGCAGATGGTGCTGAGGAACATCCCAGGACTGAAGAAATGTGGTTCCCAGAAAAGGAAAAGGAAGGAGACATTGGCAAAGTCTTACTCAGCAACTGGCAGCCTGGCCAGAGAAAGCTGCAGGATATGGCTGAGAACGCACTTTTGATATCAGGGATACTGAGGGGCTCCGACACTCACTGTTCTGTCACCTCTTCTCATGCTTCTTTACCATACCCACAGTAAACAGCCCTGGTGACTAGGCTGGACTAGTCAGGAAAGGCAGGGGATGGAAGAGATTAGAAACTGGTCCCACCTACCATATAGCATAGGGAACTATATACTTGATATCTTGTAATATCCTATAATGAAAGAGAATGTAAAAAAAAGAACATGTATGTACATGTGTATATATATATTTTGGCCATGCCACACAGCTTGTGGGATCTTAATTCCCCAACCAGGGCTTGAACCCATGCCCTTGGCAGTGAAAGCGTGGAGTTCTAAACACTGGACTGCCAGGGAATTCCCTATATATTTTTATATATATGTATAACTGAATCACTTTGCTGTACACCTGAAACACACACCATTGTAAATCAACTATATTTCAATAAAAATTAAAACAAAAACAAAAACAAAAACATTGCCCCAGAAACCTGAGGAATCACTCCCTGTGGCCAGGCTTTTTTCAGGGTAATAAGTAGTGAGCAAGGTCTCTTGGGGGTGTTGTCTCAGACTGAATCCAACGCAGTAGGGCAGCAGGAGGGGCGTGGGGGCCAAATGACCTAGGATTCATGTGGACTAAGCCCCACCTGGCCCTTGACTTCCCCAGGTGCTAGAGGTAGTGCGAGCCAACTATGACACGCTCACACTGAAGCTGCAAGATGGCCTGGACCAGTATGAGCGCTACTCCGAGCAGCACAAGGAAGCCGCCTTCTTCAAAGAGCTGGTGAGTGTGCCCCGCCTCCACCTCTGCCTGTGTCTCTTAAGGGCCCTTTCCCAGCCACTGGGTCCTACTGTGCAGGTGGGCAAAGGCTGATGAAATAAGACTGGAGGGGCCTGCTTGGATTGCGTTTGCAACTTATCTCCCAAAGCAGTCCAGGAAGGACCAGGCAGTGAGAGACGAAGATATTCCCCAGAGTGCTGGTGCCAGGCTGGGAAGGGTGAGAAGCCTGAGGCAGCAGTCCCACCTCTCTGCAGCCATGGTGACAGCCCTTGCACAGCTCCAGCTGGGCCTGGAGTTTGACGTGTGTTCCCAGTGGCAGCTCTGGCTCATTACTCCTTATCCTGTCCTCAGAGTAACTAATGAGAGTAATTGATTCTTCTCCTCCTTATGTAATCACTTCTTCCTAAGTTCCTAACTGGGTCCTGGTCTGAGTACCCTTCCAGTCTAGTTCTCCAGTCTTCACTCCCTGCCCCCATTCCCACTTTCCAGTCACTCAGCTTCCTGCAGCCCCCTCCCGTGGCCGCCTGCAGCCAGTGAACATCTGCTCTGCCTCCTACTCCACCTCCCAGTCAGCATTTCCACGAACTGGACTTACCCTGTTGGTGGTCCCTGTCCTGTCCTGTGCTCAGAAGATGCTCTCAGGAAAAGCCCAGTCTCCCTGTATTCCTGCCACTCCACCTGCCTGGTTGTGCATGATCATCCTGGCTGGGGGCTGAGACCAGGGCACACAGGCCTGTGTACCGACTTCCCATGTCCTCAGACCTCCCACTTCTGGGGCAGAACTTGCATCAGCCCAGCTTTTACTTACCCATGCCCAGTCCATGATGAAGGTGCTAGATTTTAGATCACCTGTCTTGTGCTAAACCCAGCCCAACTCTGACCCTGACATGGCATTCCTTGGATTATTGGGTTTCCCCAAGGTGAGGCAGATATACTCTGGACTGAGTTAGTTGGGAACAGGGAAGCCACTAGTGTAATAAGAAGATAGCAGAGTACAGTATTTTTATGGGGTGGTCAGCAAGTTATTGGGAGATGAAGAGGATTGTGGAGGAGAGAGTTCAAGCAGCTCTCTTGAGGCTTTTGGGCACTAGCCTGTGCCTTACTCATTTCTCCTCATATCTGTACCTCTGGTACAGGGAAGCAAAGAGGGTCTGGTTAGGTTTGGAGCTAATGAGCTTGAGCTGCCTGCTGTTTGCCATGCTGCCCTTTCCTCTGCTTCCTGCCTGATGACTTCATTAAGTTTCCCATAGCAAAGGAGAAATTGAAGAAGAGCTCCCCGGGCTTTGGGGCCTAAGATAGATACACATTCTTTTTCTCCTTCCTCCCCTGATTTGTCTCTCATTCGATGTTCACTTCTATTTCCCATGAATGAATTTCCTTCCAGAGTCTGCTGGATTCCTCTTAGAACACACTCAGAGCAGGGAGTTTGGCCTTCTGACCCCTTTCCCACAGGTCTTTTCTCCTGCTGACACAGGCGGGACTTCCTGCAAGGTTCTTGGTCTGTGGGTAGAAAGCATGAGCAGTGGGGACATAGCAAGGATACAGCTAGACTTTCCTCTCAAGTGGGGAGGCATCTTTGTGGTATGGAGAGTGCTGGACTAGGAGTTGAGAAACCTGGGTCCTACTTTCACAACTGGGACTCATTGGCTGTATGACCTGATCCTGGCTATTGGCCTCCTTGGATCATACTCCTGCCATCCAATGACAGACAAGGGCTGCATCTCTAACCATTCTTTCCAACCCAGAAAAGTAGATAAATACAGAAGGAGATTGAGGAGACTCAAAACACATCCAAAGAGAGGTAGCTCCAGAGCATGAGTCCTCTGGCCTCAGTTTCTCCTCCTCCATTAGACCACTGACCAGATCAGGGCCCCTTCTGCCTGGCCGAGGCAAGGACAAAGGCCTGACCTCAGCCCTCCTTCCCTGTCTGTGCTTGTTTCTACCTCATCAGGTGCTCAGACGCTCTGCTCACATCCACTAGGACTCCTGTCTCTCAACCTCTCTTTTCTTCCGACTATCACAGAATTGTTTGCTCATTTACCTGCAGGGATGATAGATGTTAAGGGTTCATTTCCTAAGAGAGAAACTTCTAGCACTGCATCTTGGCCTTGTGCTTCAGGCACTGCCCTCTGCTGTTTGTAATGGACTCTCTCCTGTTTTCTCTCTGCCTGTGCCCACCCCCGCACCTTCCCTCACCTTTTCCCAGGTTCGATCCATTAGCACCAACGTCCGGAGGAACCTGGCCTTCCACACACTGAGCCAGGAAGTCCTGCTCAAGGAATTCTCCACTATCTCCTGAGGCTGCCATGCATACCTGGGCAGCCACTGACTGCCCCTTACCCATGAAGCTTCCTGGGCTGGAGGCGGGGGCGAGGGGAGAGGGCCTGTTCCCAAAGCTGGAGAAAAACACAGATACCGAGGTCTCTCGGTGAAGGCCGCACTTCAGTGGAGCTCGGACAGCAGGGGCCAGGATGGGCAAGCCAAGGATGATCTTATTTGGGGAGAGGATGGGTGGGCACAGGGAGACACCTTCAGAAATGTGGGGACTTCCAGGGTGGGCTCTCTGAACAACCCCTCATATTTCCAATTGAGATTACAAATTGTGGCTACTGACTAATTTTCAGGAGCTGTTGGGTAAGCCTTAGGGTGATGCCAGCACCTGGGGGGTCAGTGGTTCTCCTAGGCTTCTGAAAACAGACTAACTCTCAGATGTAGGGGGAGCCAGTTCTGCTTCCTTTGTGCCCAGAAATCTGTGTCCCAAGCCCCCACCTGCACTTGACTCTTAGCTCAGGCTTAGGGTGAGGTAGGAATGGGATACGTTTTTTCTATTTTCTGAATCCAGAGCTGACTCCTCTGCTGTCTGACCACCACTTTGTGGATTTGATTCTTGGCAACAGGAGAGTACCTGTTGGCGTTGCCCTGCCTTCCAGCCCATTGACTCGTCAGCACTACAGGGTCACCACCTTAGCTTTTCATTTTCAATCTGGTTTAAATTGTCTTTAGGGTGTGTGTGTGAAATAAACATGGACAGGTTTTCTGGAGCCCTCAGGTGCCTACTTTGCTGGTTCCCTTTCCAGCAGCTTCCCCACCTCCTTAGCTACCCCCTCCTCTGGGAGCCTTTCTTGCGTCTGCTGAGCTCCCCTCCACGTGTTCCTCCCCCTCACCCGGCTGTTGTTTACATCCAGCCTGCGTGAGAATTTCCTCTGGGGAGGAATCTGTTCCTGCTGTGGTCTGGTGCCTGGAAGGGAGAGAACTTGCTGGGGCCAGGCTCTGAAACAGGCCAGGTGAGCATCATGGAGAGGCCGACCTTTGGGAAGTTGGCCTATGGTCCCTTCTCTGGATGGCCTCCTTGGGACTACTACTGTAAGCTTTCCTGCCCCACAGCTGCCTTTGAAGTAGCTGCTGCTCTGAGATCCTCCCTTTCTAAAGCACTTTCTAAAGCCCTCAGGATGGTAGGGGGCAAGCAGCACAGGAAGAATCTGGGAGTAAGTATCAGAATCCAGCCGTGAGAGCGGGTCTGGGACCTCCCCAGCTGCTATTCCACTTGGCTTCAAATCTTTTTGGGGTACTCGCCCTCCCTGGGAACCAGAGTTCCGACTCCAACATTGAGCAAATTCCAGAGAATCCACCATCGTGCTGCCATGTATAGTTGTAGATTCTTAAGGTATCAAGGGCAAGGGTCATCTCTGATCACTAGATGGATAGTCCAGCCTGGGGCATTTAGTGTTTTCCACAGTTTTTCCACAGATAAACCCCAGAGGAGCAGGAGCTGGAAGCTGGTGGCAAGTTGAAGTTATTAAAAATTGATTTGTATGGGACAGTCTTTTTAGTGTCTTTTCTATTTCCCCTTAATCTCTGTTACCCAGAACCCCTTTCTCAATGACAGAGTTAAGGTAATCTCCCAGGTGCTGGTCTCACCTGGTTAGGGAACCCCTTATATGCTCTGTTTCTCAGTCTCCTGGTCCTAGTGGAAGCCAGTTCAGTTCAGAAGTTGTAGCCTCCCTTGCCTTTTGGGTGGAAGGACGGAAGAAGAAGAAAATCCCTTTACCTCAAAATTTGGTGTTAAGGAGGCCAGCCAGCCTATTTGGGCTGCTTCAGATTCCTGCCAGCCTTTCATATGAAGTGAATAGGGGCAGGTCCAGGGCATGAGGCAATAAGCGAAGCACTCCTTGCCCTCCATTTTAAAAGCCCATCTCTTGGCCCATTTACATACACCTATTCTAAGAACTCCAAATAGGAATCCCATCCTTTCTTAGAATTTAACCCCAAAAGGAGCCATCTGTGCCCTGTCCATGCCCCAATGTCTATACCAGGTCTGTGGAGGACCCTCCAGAGTCAGGGAAAAGCCAGGAGTAGGGCATTGCTCCCAAAGATAATCCTTCCTTCGGCTGCTGGTCCCCTTCTCATGCCTGAACTCTCACCACAATTCCTG